CGGATAATAGAGGAACAGTCTATCTTGCTCACAGTATCCATCCCCCATTCCCCACCCCTGGCGTTTACTCTTTGGAATAAGGCTGCCTACTTTTATGGATCCGGACAAACCAACCAGTCACAAGCACCGCAGGGCTATGCATTTTCATAGTTCCTTGATGCTGGAGGAATGGTCAAGTCAAGGACTCAAGTCCACAAGGAGGTGCAATTTGTTCCCACAAAATCCTATGGAAGGTAGAACAAAGTTTGTGCCTGTGTGATCTGTGTAATAGTGCAAATTAAAAAGGTCCAAGACCAAAAAGGTGTAATTAGGACAGTGGTTAGTAGGAACTGGGCTGGGTCAGTCCTATAAAGATATTGGCTATTGTCCGACATCCAATGTTTGTCTTCCGAACGTTCTCTCCATGCACAGTCCAGCTCCCTTGATGATGGGACATCCTCAACCGAGGGACCAAGTTTTGCTTTAAAAAAGGAGAATGACTTGGGCTCCTGTACAGCAGGGTCACTCTATGGACATCTTTGGTTCTGGAGGGGAAAGGCACCACCCCGACATCAGAGTAAAATGTCCAATTTGGCAGTCCATACAGCTGCTCGCCTGTGTCCTCTGTTTCTGCTGCTTGCATTGGCAGAATTGTGCATGTGGTAACACCCCAGGGGTAGCTATTAATCCTGGAAGGTCTACCACATGCCTTCTTCCACAGAGCCTCTCTGCCTGCACTTGGGAGTCAGTTTTCCAGCTTTAATGGCTGAGGGTAATGTGGGCTTTTGCGGCAGACCAGAGCCAGGACTGTGATACAAGTAACAAGCCACAAAGAATGATGTGTTCTTGCTGGAGGATAGAACAGCTCTTCATTGGTTCATGGGCTCTTCTTCCATTGGTTCTCCTTGCCGCCTAAAGCAGAAGAAGCCAAGACATTAAGGATTAGGAAAAGACACTGATCAAATCCAAGCTATGTCACGTGCTTGGAAATAAATAGGTCAAACATTCAAGTCCTGCTTGGGACTTGTAGTTCTGGGAGGTGAGGGAGGTGGGAGGGAGGGAGTCAAAGGAAGCAGAGAGATTTGTCTGTCAGAGAGCTGAGTTGCCCCAGGGACCTACCTACCTACTGCAGCATAATGCAGGTCTGAGATGTGCCTCACATAGAGTTGCTCTTAAAGGATTTCCCAAAAGTGCAGAATGTCGCAGAAATTTCCCCAAATACAACTGTATGGAGCAGTATTTACATGCTTGTATTAAACAGTTTGGGGATGGGGGCCAGGATAAAGTGCAATCTGACCTTAAGGTAAATTCATTTCTGTCCCTTAGATTTGGCTCTGGAGAGCAGGCTCTTATTTTTAATTAGAGGGATGCAAAAATAAGTAGGAATTAATTAGTTTGGGCAAACCCTAGCCATCGATCTTCCACATGCTTCCACAGCTGCTACACTAAAGACCATCCTTCCAACGGTCTTAAAAGGTGAATGGGAGAACACGGACTTAAATTCATGTTTCCCGGATCCCAATCAATCAATGTTATTTGTGATGCTGGTTTTATTTATTGTTTCCAAAACTGTGGCTTCTCCCCTTCGGTCAGACTTGATCTACTCTGCACGCCTCCCTGAACTGCAATTTTGACCCTGCTCACCCTTGTAGGTAGATGCACCACAGCTATTTTTCAAGACCAATTTGCGAGAGGTCCCAACATCTTGAAAGTAGCGCTGCATGCAGATGGTAAAATGGGGGAACGTTCCTTCTGCCCTTATGGCAGGGAGCATAGAATTAAAATGCTCCAGCAGGCAAATAGTTTTTCAAAATAAAAACGGGGATGTGATGGGGTCAGCCTTTGATTGGTGCTGTTGCCCAAGACAATTTTGACTTCAGAAGCACCTCTCGCCTGGCTAAGTTAGTCTTGGCAATAGCAATAGCAGTTAGACTTATATACCGCTTCATAGGGCTTTCAGCCCTCTCTAAGCGGTTTACAGAGTCAGCATATCGCCCCCACAGTCTNGAACTGCAGAACTGCAGTCAGCTGAAATAGCCTGCAGTGCTGCATTTAACCACTGCACCACCTTGGCTCTTGCTCTAATTGGGAAGGATCCCAGGGAAGACTTCCTAAGGGAAGTCCATTTGTGGTACTGAATTATGCATCAGTGGGTTTCCACCTTTCTTTTGATGCCTTACAGCTGTTGATTCCAAGTCCAAAGATGATAGTTGAATAGAGAAGCTTACACCATGGCAGGTGCTCTTATAAGAATCTGGCATCGAGTGCAAACTATTCACACGGTCTCCCTCTGCTGTCTTTTACATTCCTTCTTTATCCCATTTTCTTGGGTGTAGTGACTTGGGTGTCAAAGCGAACCACCTTTCAAAGCTCTCAACGTTCAGTTTTACAACGAACCCCAAATTGTGGTGGCTCTGAGATCTCTAATATCAGGGGGCCTCCAATGACGATTGCCAATTGTGTCTGAATCATCCAGTAGCTCTTCCTGGATGACACAGGCTTCAAGAGTGCTTGTGGCTTTGGCTTCGTTGTGACTTGGAACCGAACAATGCAAACAAGACAGCTTGCACCCACAGGATTTTTCCATCACTCCATGATGAATGAGCAAAATGAGGCCCTTTGTATTCTCCGATTCTGAGAATTATTTCCCCCCCTAACACTTTTCCCTCTCTTGCATAATCTTCCATTTCCACTCCCTCCACCCTGCGCCCCATGTTGTCTTGGCACTTTGATTTGCTATTTCCACAGTATCATCCTATTTTTTTTGGCAAACACAACTTTCTTCCATCTCACTCCTTTTGTGTGTGTGTGTATACTATAAACCATTTCTCAAGATCCTAATAGAAATATTATTAAACATGATAACATTGGTTTATACACTTGCATTTCCGCAAAGAATGAAGTTTGTACCCTTTGAGTTACATTAGTGTGATCATAGGTAAAGGTAAAGGTTCCCAGTGCATATATGTGATAGTTGTTCCCGACTCTAGGGCTCATCTCCGTTTCAAAGCTGAAGAGCCAGCGCTGTCCGAAGATGTCTCTGTGGCCAGCATGACTAAATGCCAAAGACTCACGGAACGCTGTTACCTTCCCACCAAAAGTGGTCTCTATTTTTCTACTTGCATTTTTACATGCTTTTGAATTGCTAGGTTGGCAGAAGCTGGGACAAGTAATGGGAGCTCACTCCATTATGTGGCACAAGGGATTCAAACCATCGAACTGCCAATCTTTCTGATTGACAAGCTCAGCATCTTAGTCACTGAGCCACTGCATCCCTTTTAGTGTGATCGTATACCTGATCAATTATCTGGATGGTCATGAGAGAGCAATAGGAAATACCAACCTTTTGCTGCCATGTAGTGTTTGTTCATTTTCTACGACCCAACTGTAGTATGGAAATGATCTTTGGTTATGGAAATTATCTTGCCTCTTTTTAAAGCAACTTCACATAACAATGAAGTGCAATGCATACATCAGTAATATGTACACCATTTCTCTAGAACCGATTCCCATCCTGGTATATGTAAATACATTTGAATTCATTTATGTTTACGATGCAATGTGAGAATGACCTTGGGAGACTGGTCCAGAGACACTGCATAGTGCAGTGGTTCCCAAACTTGGCAACTTTAAGACTTGTGGACTTCAACTCCTAGAATTCTCCAGCCAGCTCTGCTGGCTGGAGAATTCTGAGAGTTGAAATCCACAAGTCTTAAAGTTGCCAAGTTTGGGAACCACTGGCATAGTGGATGGTCTGATAAAAGACAGCATAATCCACAGTGATGTGGAGGTGGTGGAAGAGTTGTACTTTTAGACTAGCAAGATTGTGATTTCAGCCTTACCAGGTAGACCTACAGGAAACATGATCAGATCAGCTAGTTTTATTTTACTATAAAACTATTAACAGAGCCTGGCAAGTCTGAAAGTACAATCTCCCTGTTTCCTTAACCCACCCATCCCCTCCCACACAAAAATTAGAAAGGGTCTCTTTTGAGCTTGCCCACCCTTTAGCCAGCTGTTCTTTACCTGACCATTCCCTAGACAATCTCTGAGCCAGTCTCCCAAGGTCAACCCACATACCCTTGCAATGCATGAGAATTAATGAATCAACAATAATGAATAATGTATTTTACTGTAGTCTCTTGACCCTGTCAAGGGACAGGGAAACCAGGAGAACTACACCAGGGGTGTCAAACTCGATCTCATTGAGGGCCACATCAGGGTTGTGTTTGACCTCGGGGGCCCAGGGTGGGCATGGCCAGCTCAAGGTCACTTGTGTCGGGGGCTCCTGTGGTGGCGTGAGCTCTCTGCCAGTGAAAATGGGCTCCCAATCTCTGTTTTCGGTTGCGACGATATCCTTCAACCCTCTGCCAGTGAAAATGGAGCTGGAGAGGGCTGCGTGTGGCCTTCCTGAGCTCCGTTTTCACTGGCAGAGGCACCACGTGTCGGTCCTTTGCTGTTTCCAGGGTAGCCCCATGGGCCACATCTAAGCACCCCATGGGCCAGATGCTGCCCATGGGCCTTGACACCCCTGATTTAGACAGTTCAAATGGGTACAAAGATTTATTGTAAGCTTAAGCTCTCTATAAGAATCTGAACTACTCAATTTGTCAGGAGACATACTGGTAAGATTGTTCCAGTACACATATAGCTTTCTACCATGTCATCTTCATCTTTTTCCCGAGGTGAGTCTATGGGTATTTCCAAATAATGACATAAGCTACAGCTTAACCACCAATCAAACCAAGTTGGGCAGAAAACACAAAGAGCACCAAAAGGTATTGTTGGGCCTCTTAGTTCCTGTTGTTGTTAGTCGCAAAGTCGTGTGTGCCCCATCACGACCCCATGGACAACGTTCCTCCAGGCCTTCCTCTCCTCTACTATCCTCTGGAGTCCATTTNAAACCAAACCACGGGAGGTGGGGAAGCTTTCAGATGTGGCAACATGGCCCTCTTAATAAATTGGAACCTTGAGCAATACTTTGCCTTGGACTCTGTTTTAATTTTGGATGCTATTTGGAACCCTGACAAGCCATATGCTCTGCCCCATATTTGGGTAGACCAGGTTGCCTTGATTTAAAAAAAAAACACTTAAAAAGAATTGGTGTGTGGCAAATATCTCAGAAGTGGCCATCCCTAACTTTTCTGGCTGCAAATGTGGTGTGGATTTGTAAGATTGGTATTTTCAGATTTGGAAGATTGGTATCAACTCTCAGAGGCAGTCCAAACAAGAGATTCTATCTATGAGTACTAACATTATTGTAAAGTTACAGTAACAGAACCTTGTAAGTCTGAAAATATATCAGTCACCGCTTGCCATTACAAGGCCCAAGACACTAGGGAGGGCCCCTCGGAGACATTAGCCACGGTCCCATTATTTCTGCAGGCTAAACTGCCTCTTATCTGACCACTGCCTAGTCCTCTGTGTCTCTTCCTCCTGTCTCTCAAAGGCATTCCCGAAGACCATTGCAGTGCCAAGCAGCTGCTTGTAGCAGTTGCTCTCTTCCATGCGCCCACTCTATCCTTCACAATAAGAGGAATCCCTCCACTTACTTTGCACCTCGATTACCGCCTCCAAGGAGTGCACAGCATTAGTGCTAGGTTTCTGCTGCAAGATCTCTTCCGGAAGAGGCTCAAGCTGTGGAATAAAAAGAGGTTTATCTGTAAGTTTGGCACAAAAGAGGCAAGAGAAGGGGCCATAAGGATATCAGCAAGTGAATTGTTTGCTAAGGTGCGCTCGCTAACGTATGCATGCTGAAAGGCAACTGCCAGCAGGCCACAAAAAATAAATTTGAAGGAGGATCACAGCTTGGTACCAGAATATCATGGCTCTAAATTAGGCGGGATGTTTTTTTTTCAGTGAATAAACAAAATAATAGGATTTCCTTGTTATAGCTCTCTGTGAGTAACTAAGCTGGACTTACTTTCTTTTAAATAAAGAGGCATGTTTAGAATGAGTTATACAAAACCTCTGGGAAAGATTGCCTGGACTGCAAGCAATTCAACCCACACCCACCTATTTATTTATATATGCACCCACGCAGACACATATAAAATATAATCAATAGGGAAAGGAGGAGAGGATAAGGGAGGATCTTCATTTTGGGGGAAGCGTGACCGGCAGCTCTGTGAAGTTGGCAAAAACAAGGACAGAGTGATAAATGGGCATGGAGACGTAAGTTATAGATCTGCAGCCAGGCACCCTGGGCTATATCTTTGGCTGTCATGGTTGATTAAATTTATCAATGAAGAGACAGTTGGCTTGGTAAGCAGGTTGTAAAACTGAGAGGAGGAGAAAAGACTCCCGCCAATTTAAAAAGCAGCCATCATTGAAACTAATTTGGATTTGAGAAGTTATTAACATAGGCCGGCGGCCAATGTTCTCGTCCCAGGAAAAGGTGTGCAAGGGAATGGTGCTCATTCAATTCCAGTCACTTTGGAATGGAAACGATTGTTCTCAATCCATGTTGATCCTCATTCAAACCTGATGTTGGAAAGACTGTTGAGCATTCCTGAGGCATGACCCTTGCCAAGAGAAGAGTGGGGAGTTTGATAATTCTCACGGACATCTGAAGCAGCTGTGGAGGTCCTGCATCAGTGCCCGGGTGAGGTAATGGTTGGGATGAGGGTGAACCGACCAAGACTCAATCCAGATCAAATATTCAATATGTTCCAAAAAGGAATATATCCACTCTCTGAATTGTGGGCGGAGAGCCCATATCCTCCATGAGACCTTTGAGCTGAATTACTTGGAGTGCCCAGCTATGAGGAGTCCTTTGAGCTTTTCCAGTAGCCACCTGATATTGGCTGGCAGAACAAATCACTGGTTGTCACAGCTCATGACAACAGAAACCTAGTGATCATGATCAGGATTGCTAAGGTGGAGAGCTTTTCTAACCACCCTGCCTAACATTTGTAGAACTGAGAGGGACCAAATTTTTTCTCCCCAAGGAATCTTCCAAAAAACAAAAAAATCACTGTTTCTGACACCTGCAAGGGGAGGATCTCCATGGTTTCCCCTTTCCTCTCAATGACTCTGCTCCAATAACACTGGGGGAAATGGGGATGTGTCTGTGCAGGGGCGGTGTTATAGAAAGGGGCTTCCTGTGTACATGCACATCCAACTTCTGAACCAGGAACTCAGAGGTGGGCTGCCAATTTTTTTACCACCGGTTCAGGTGCACTCCTGCACATGTGATGCTTCTGCGCATGCGCAGAAATGTCCAGGCAGATGGGTGGAGCCTCTCGCCACCAGTTTACTACCAGTTTGCCCAATCAGGTACAAATCGGCAACAACCCACCTCTGCAGGAACTGATGGTATCATGAGGTTCCCAAATGACTCATCAAGTTATTACATGGGGCTGGCATGGTGTTATATGCCCTTTAAAAGCCAAAAGAGTCTCTTTGGCTCAAAGCTCTTTGTATTGGATTTTTAGTTAAGCCAGCTCAAATACTTGGGTCCAGTTTTGTTTGGCCACAGTGGCTAGAAATGACCCCTCAGCATGTTGCAACATGGTATAT